AATCACAACCACCACCATGTGACTCTACTCAAGTGCCAACTACTCTGTCTCCTCCGGATCCGACACATGAGTCCGACCTTCCCATTGCCCTCCGAAAAGGTATTCGTTCTACACGTAATCCCTCTCCCCATTATATTGCTTTGAGTTATCATCGATCGTCATTACCTTTTTATACATGTCTTTCCTCTATTTCTTCCGTGACCATTCCAAAAGCTGCTCGTGAAGCTTTAGCCCATCCTGGTTGGCGTCAGGCCATGTTAGATGAACTAAGTGCTCTTCATAATAGTGGAACTTGGGAATTGGTCCCGTTACCGTCTCGGGAAATCTGTTGTTGGTTGCAGGTGGGTGTTTGCTATCAAAGTTGGACCTGATGGTACTATTGATCGCCTCAAAGCTCGTCTTGTGGCCAAAGGTTATACTCAAATTTTTGGGTTGGATTATGGAGATACCTTTTCCCCTGTGGCAAAGATGGCTTCGTTCGTTTATTTATCGCCATGGTCGCTCTTCAACAATGGCCTCTTTATCAACTCGGATGTTAAAAATGCTTTCCTCAATGGTGATTTGCAAGAAGAAATATATATGGAGCAACCTCCTGGGTTTGTTGCTCGGGGGAGTCTTCTGGGATGGTATGTCGTCTTCGCAAATCCCTATATGGCCTAAAACAGATCTCCTAGGGCTTGGTTTGGAAAGTTTAGCAAGGTTGTTCAACAATTTGGTATGACTCGATGTGAATCAGATCATTCTGTCTTTTATCGACACTCGAGTGCTGGATGTGTTTACTTGATAGTATATGTCGATGATATTGTTCTTACAGGTAGTGACAACCATGGCATCTCTCAGCTTGAAACAACATCTTTGTCACCATTTTCGGACCAAAGATCTTGGCAAACTTAGATATTTCTTGGGTATTGAGGTAGCACAGTCCAATGATGGTATTGTTATATCTCGGAGGAAGTATGCCATAGATATTTTGGAAGAAACTGGGTTGATGAGTTCAAAGTCTCGTTGATACACCCATGGATCCCAATACTAAACTTCTACCAAATCGGGGGAGCCTATATCTGATCCTCGAGCAAGTATAGAAGATTGGTTGGAAAATTGAATTATCTTACAGCTACTCGTCCCGACATTTCCTTTGCAATCAGTGTGGTAAGTCAATTTCTTAATTCACCATGTGAAGATCATTGGAATGCAGTCATTCGTATCTTGAAGTATATTAAAGGATCTCCTGGAAAAGGATTGTTATATGCTTCTAATAACCATACAAGAGTTGTTTGCTACTCGGATGTCGATTGGGCGGGATCTCCTTCTGATAGAAGATCTACATCCGGATATTGTGTCTCCATTGGTGGTAACTTGATTTCATGGAAAAGTAAGAAACAAAGTGTTGTGGCAAGATCCAGTGCGAGCGGAATATAGAGCTATGGCCTCAGCTTCCCGTGAACTTGTTTGGCTCAAGCAATTGCTTAGAGAGTTACAATTTGGAGATGTCACTCAAATGACACTTGTGTGTGACAATCAGTCGCTTCTTCATATTAGTTCTAATCCTCGTCTTTCATGAGAGGACCAAACACATTGAGATTGACTCGTCATTTTATTCGAGAAAAGATTATGTCTCGGAGATATCAAGACTGAGTTTGTTAACTCAAGTGATCAGTTAGCAGATATTTTTACTAAATCTTTACTGGGTCCTAGAATTGATTATATTTGTAACAAGCTTGGCACATACGATTTGTATGCTCCAGCTTGAGGGGGAGTGTTAGATATTGTTTATATATTATTTGATATTGTTAAGATATTGTTAGATATTGGTAACCACAATATCAAACAATATCTTCTGTTTATTCTGTTACTTTCAGTTACTCTTTTAGTTGTATTTCTCTACTATAAATAGACCACCCTATGTGTGATTTATACACAAGGGAAATTAATTCCAAACTATATTTTCTTTATATTCAACAAAAATATATCAAAAGAGAGACATTGAAATGAATCTATATTCACAAAATACATAAATTAGTTCTAACTACGTACCCTTTATAAATACTATAAAAACACAATATTTAATAGAAACTGAATTTAGTTAGGTTAACCAACCTAACTAAAAAAAATAATACATCATAATTATCTAACAAATTCTAAAATCCTATAACTCTGTTGGATATATCCAAATCATATTCTAGTAGCAGAATAAAAGAATTATTATTTTTACCGTAATTTTTTCGACAGGAACTTGTTTTTAAAAAATTATTATTGTAAATTTTAAGATGATATTAATTATCTTTTTACCAATTTAATTATATTTAAACTAAAGAAAAAATATAAAATTATTAAAAGTGTGTTTGTGCGTTGAGAAAGCATTAGAATGATAAGAATATTAATAAAAAAATTAATAAATTTAGTAAAAATAATAAAAATTAATATTTATCTTGTAATTTAACTTTATTTTAAAAAAATACACAACAAATAAATTTAAATTGGATTGAATTGAATTGACTCCATAATTCAAAATCCATCCAATTAAATCGATCACGATTCAATTAAGTATGATTCGTAATAATTCATAAGCCTTAGTCATAATCATAACAATAGTTTGATTTTATCCAACCGTGGTGTTTCTTTGATTGAATTGACTCCATGGTTAAACTGTTGAAACGATAATTGTTAAATTTGTAAAGTTAATATTATATAATTTTTTGAGTAAAATTATAAAATTAAAATAGATAAATAAATTTAATTGCCACTTAATTCGTTTATAATAATAATAATAATAATAATAATAATAATAATAATAATAATAATAATAATAGTCCAGCTTTATTTAAAATTTAAAATTATTTTTTTATAATATTAATAAAAATAAGAACATGATAATACTTTTACAATGAATTATGTATTTTTCATTTGAAATTGTATCTGAAGAAGGATATTACTTTCGTCCATATATATATATATATATATATATATATATATATATATATATATATATATATTCTTATTTTAATAATAACAAATTAAATCTAAGTAAGCCTTTAGTTTTTATTTTTTTTATCATTCTCAGATAAAATTACTCTTGTTTTATTAGAAAGTTTCCCAAACCAACTGAAAAAATTAAAACAAAAATTTCTAAAAGAAAATGTAAATAGGAAAGTTTCTAATTACATTGATCTTTTTGTTGTTTTTTGACAATTTTTACTAAAAATATTTCAACATTTTAAAAAGGTGGTATAAAAGTATGTTTTTTATGTTTCATAAGAAGGAATAAACGAATGTATTCGAGAGTAAAAAGTTTATTTTAATGTTAATATGTGAATATTAACTCTAAAATTATTAAACTATTAATTTTTTTTAATAATCCTAAAGTATTTCCTTTTAAGAAAATGTTACTAATCCCTTAAAACATTGGTAAAAAAAAATTATAAAAAAGTGTGATGTCCTATAGTTATTTTGGGTAGTTTGATATCAGAATATAGACTTATGAATTATTAAAGAATAATATTAAAAATCGATACTTTATTACACTTTTGTGTTTCTATTTTAGAGAATAGTATCAAAATAGATACTTGAACCCACTTTTGCGTTCCTATCTTAGAGAATAATATCAAAACAAATCTGTGTTTATACTTTTATATAAAAATTTAAAGAATAAGAGCATTAACAACTTAATTTAAATTTTTAATTTTTAGTTCAACCACTAACAAAGAACGAACCTTTATTAACTTTTTTTCTTTTATGTATACTCTAATACGATTCTTGTTGTCACCCCACAAATGGTTCTTTGACTACGTTCTTTTTTATAAATGTGCTTTGTCTTCCTATGAACCCTAATACAATTCCTATAGACCTAACACACGTATGTTTCTTCTGTTTTTTTACCTAAGTTTTTTCTATATGTGCGTAATCCCCAACTTGAATACATTACATGAAGTGTTTTTTAATCAAATGTAGTAGTCAATCTAAGTTTTTTGGCCCACTTGTTTACTTTAGGTGGTGCCCTACAAGTCATGTGGGTCTGGTCACTCTCTCTGGAACCAATTTCAAAATTTGGATAACAGCTTCCAACCTGAAAGGAATTGGATAAGAACATAGCCTGTGGAGGGTCCCATTTCCCCTTCTTCCACAATAAAGGACACATCCAACCCTAAATAGATCCTGGTGAAAAGGGTAATGAAGGAGTGCTTCAATGGCCCCAAATTCTCAGCCTTTTGTGTTTAACGCCAAAACATAGAAAAAAAAAAGGAAGCCACATTGAATGCCAAGCGCAATTGCCGCTGATGTGCTTCATTGCTTTTGTTGGACATCAATGCCCCACCACCAGTACAACATATTCACCAAAGATGCACAAAACACCACACACAAACAACTAAACTAATCATAACCATAATCCATAGAACAAAGTCACAAACCTTTGCCTTAGAATGTCCTTGTCCTTTTGTTTTCACAACAATAATAGTAAAAAATGCACTCCTTGAATAAGAAAAGCCTATGCTTCAGTTTTTGGTGTCCAAAATCTCTCAGGATGTTGAAAGTCATGAGACTGATAATCTCTCAGAATATTGTAGGTCGAGTTTTGTGTCAGATAGATACTAATTATCTCTTATGGTACAAAAATCTGAACTCTCTCCATGTTTGAAGGACATGGTTATATGACAATCATATACAACACCAAATTGTATATGTGAAGCCTGATGATTCAAGAAGTCTTAATCATTGACCCAAAATAATGAATCTGAACCCCGAAACTCAGAATTTCAAATTAATTGCTTACTCATGAGGTAAAAGAGGATTATAATGATAGAATTTTTTTCAAGATCCAGTGAGCCGACATGAATAATTTACTAAACAAAGACAAATTGGTAAAGGGTTTCAATTGTTTGGTCTCTTTGTGCTGCATAAACACTGCAATTAAACAATCTTTTTGGAAATACAAGACAATATTTTTCCTTATTCACTGGCTGCATATACAACAGCTACATACATATCCCACAGTTTGAAGGTTCCTATTCACCCCCTTTGTACCTATTCTTCACTGATTCATCCTTTGGGTTACCTATTGAACCCTCTTCAGCACCATCAATGGCCTTGCCAAGGGTCTGACTCGCCACCCCCTTTTGGGCTTCCTTGGCCTTCTTCTCCTCCGCAACCCTCTCAAATTCTTCAGCTGTGGAAGGTGCCCTCTCTTCTATCAAACGCCCATTTTTCCCCTTGCTTCCTTGCCCATAATTCTAACATGCATGTTCATATATTCGTTCAACAACAAGAACATCAGAATCAATCACAGTAGTCATTCAAATGTCACCAATTTATGATCCCAGTTCAACATTTTGCATGGTTAATTACTTTGCAACAAACCCATTTGAGTAGGGATTGCATTTTCAAATCCAACAACCGAAAAAACTTCCCTTGATTTCTCATGGGGTTTGAAAATTGATCCACTTTCCAGCCCTTAATTAATAAACCAATTATGCAGTAAAACAAACCAGAATAAAAATAAAAACAAACTTTTATACATTTCCTCTTCCTTCTCAAGCACCCACAAGCACAAAGTAAAACAATTAACAATTCTTTAAAATGAAGCACCAGCATCGAGAGAAGAAAAGTGAAGGATGGACAAAATACCTTAATGGGGTTGTAGAGAAGAGGCCTAGAGGGCTTGATGATGGAAGATCTCGAAAGATTGAGGAATTGGGCACCAGCCATTGATAGACAGGGTGAGTGTAAAAAAGTGTTTTTTGAGCTTCAGTTTTCACCACAACTGTGTGTCGTTGGCAAATATTACGTTGTCGTTGCGTTTGAGAGAGACGATGATGATGTTGGAAAAGCATAAAATAAGATAAAATAAATAAAATATTGGAGTTTGGAATAGTGGGGACGTGTCCGTAGGTGGAAGCTAATGATAGGCACGTGGTGGTGTTGACATGAGACGCTTCATTCATGCAATCCAAATCCAATTGGACAACATTGTAGAGTTCGAAGCAAGAATAGGATATGCCTCCTATTCATACATACACAATTTTGTATCCATCTCAATCTAAGTAACTCCTATGAATCCATTTAACATATTATATTACTTCACGTTCCTTTCTTTTATTGTCAACTACTCTTTTTATCTTATAATAATGCTGTTTTAATTTTTTACCTTTTCAAAATAATAAATTTGTTAACTTTTTCAATTAATTTTTTCCATCAATAATACTCTACATATATGATTAAGTTAAGAAGATGCATTAATATAGTGTTACTTGCTTTGACAATAAAGACACTAATAATAAAAACACATACGTGAATAGAAGAATGATTTGTGACAACCGTGGTTGAAAATACTAAGAATGTTCTTGTCTAAATCTGTACCAATTAAATATGTTTTAATGATGCCTTAACTTAGAAAATTAATATTTTAGAATGGAAGAGGTACATTTTATTTGATATGGTATAATTGATGTATATATTTTCTTTAAAAAATTATATAATTAATTTCTTCAATTAAATTTACTATCTAATATTATTAGTTTTTTTTTTAATTTTGAGAAAAGAATTAGATTTTATGGCTTAGTATATTTAAACGAGACTCCCATGAAATTTATTATAAAATAATAATGAAGAATGAATTATTTATGGCATTATTGTAAATTAAATTGCTACAACAATTTAAAATAAAAAAAAACGTAGCCACGCATTACTCTTCCCAATTTTTTTAAAAATTTCGAATATTATTTTCCTGATTCGTCCAACCTAATAAAAAATTAGAAAAAGTTTGTGTGAATCCTAATGATACACAATGTTATATTATTATATAAATTTTAAAAACTGTGGAGTAAAAGAGATAAAAAAAAAGAGACAAAAATATGAAGCGTAATATTTTAAACTTTAAAAGATGTATTTCAAGTGAAGCAAAGTTGTAAGGACTAAAAAAGTTTTTATGAATTCATAACCTTTAAATGATGATTAGATGAATATATTGATAGATTTAAAAAGTCTTAATGATTTCATAACCTTATAGTTATTTTTTTTAAGTCATTAAAAAAATTAATAATAAATTTGTGATGGAAATATTAAATTAAAAAATATACTATTTTTAATGTGATAATTATTTTTAAAGATGTTGTCTTACTATATTTGAGATTAAAATCTTGATATTTTAGAGAAAAATGGAAGATTTTAAATAATTTATGTATTTCTTAATTTTAATTGAGAAAATTATTCTAATATTATCAAAAGTCTTATATTACTCTGAAGTTAGATAAAAATAATTTATAAACATTTAGACCTTTTTAAAGATAAAAATATTGATATTTAAAAATAATGATATTACGAATATAATTATAATTCCCCTATCAACTTCAGATTTGAATATTAATATCGTCTATGAGAATAAAGAAAATATTTTAAATCATTCTTGCGTGTTAGTGTTTCACTATCTAAAAATTTCATAACATTTAAATTTTTTTTTATCTCTCTTTATCACCGAAATATATTATAAAAAAAAGTGAGAAAACCTTGAATAATAAATGTAAATATGTTGATTTGACAATATATTAATAATTAAATTTTCTGTAATTTTCTCAATCTTTTGTGATTAGGTTATCTTCTATCAATTCATCCAGTAAAATGGATAAAATGAAACCGAATTAAGCTTGTTTTTGAAATCAAATAAATGGAAAGAACAAAAAGTAAAACTGAAGTGATAAGATGGAATCGTTTTTCTGCTTGGAGTTTATTCAATCAATTGGTGAACACCCTATTGTTAGGGCAACCTTATCTCAGTGGTAAAAGGAGAATAAATAGCATGATGAATTTGGAAGAATTGTTTCACCCTATGCTTTATGTTATTAATTGTGCTTTATTAGCCCTTTACTTTTTCATGGTTGAAGAGTGCAAAGGAGGGGGACCAGAAAAAAAGGTGTCAATGAAGTGGTATTAATGGCAAGTAGAAATGCATCATCAACTCAAATGGCTTTCCAATGAAGGGAAAGTGAATGCTCTCACAATAATGCAGTGGAGTTGTTATGTGTCATCATCATGTGTTTGGCCCTCCATACAAAAGTGCTTCAGGAAAGAAGTGAAGCCATTTACTGCTTGGACCCAAGGTGCACCAAGCAACACAAGTAGGGCCTTTTGTTTCAAAATAAGACAACATTAATTTAGACACAAATTTATATTGAAACATCAATGTCTTATTTCATTTTAATTATCTAAATATATACATCAATATTGATTCACACAAATGGTATCAACTTGTGCCTCTTAACCTGGTGATGTCATTTTGATAGCATTGTATATTGTGGATGAATTTGGCATTGATACTCCATGAACTACACAAATCAGTGCTATTATTATAGCTTCTTCTATCATATTGCAATAAAAAAATATTTACAGTTCCAAAGTAAAATTGTTGAAAGACTACTGCACAACAAATATAACTAACAATAGTTTGGTATCATCCAATAATAAACTGGGAAGTGCCTTGATTCCAATCACCAAGGACTGCATGGTTTAAACTTGAATAGAATTTTCTTTCAGAGTCTTCTGATCATGCTGTAATGTCAGATTCATACTCTGCTGCAAATGCTAAAGTTGATAAGAGTGCCTTTTCACCTGAGTTTGATGAATGCTTATGAGAACCAGATTTTAGGTGTTCAGAAGAATGGTTTGAAACACATGGACTCAGGGTTGCTGAGGTTTTCTCTAGAAACTTTGATTTCATTCCTTCTGACACAGGTTGATTTTTTCCTGGATTCTCATTTAAGAATATATCAGTCAGTGATACACTTTGTTTTGTTCTGTCACTTGCTTTGTTGTAATCATCCTTAAGGAATTTGCATTCTCAGGCTAACCAAAATTGAGAAACAGTGGCAACTTGTTACCATTTTGCCTACTCACATTGGAAAGAATATGACTTTTGAAGCCATAGACAAAGCCTTCGCCAAAAGAAAGATAGTTTACTCCCTTACGTTTAACAGCTATAAATTTCTTAGGAATCTCCACCTTGTTTTGAATTTTGTCAAATGCATTTTGATCTTCGCAACTTTCCTTGTTAGTCACTGTGCCTGGTTTCAGCGTACAAGAGCTGGTTGATGATTTTGCAAGATTGATGACACTAATTCCTTTGGGTGGTGTAGGCTGTTTCTGTAAAGTGCTTGTAACCTTATGTTCTACATTGATGCGAGAACGAATTCCTGAATAATTAGTAAATTGATTTTGCTGGACAGAACCAGAGCCATGGTTGTTGGTAAGTGGGATATCATCTTTGGTTGGTACCTAAATCAGAAAGTTCCCATTTTTAATATGCGAGAACAGTTAAACAATTCAGATGCATGCATATAAGGATTAAGATTGGTATTAAGTCCATTGATGCAATCATTTACAATAAGTGAGATGATCGTGTTTCTAGTTGCAGTTTCATGCTTCTGAACCTCTTCTACTTCCAGAAATTTCTCCATCTTCCAAGATTTCTGGGTAATTTGACAACCCAACTTCACAGCCATCACTATGTTCCTCATCTAGTCCCATGTTCAAGGGGATTAAACCACTATCACAAATAAGATCTTCTTTGATTCCTTTCATAACCAGCTCGAACTGATTTATTAGCTTCTGCTCCTTATCAAAACCACTTCCTTGAGTAGACATTTCCTCTATTTCCATCATATGTCCTATATCATCTACAACCATCTTGTTGGAAATAGAATCCATGTCCATTTCGCCAACCCAATCAATGGTTCCCTGGATCTCCTGCATATCCTTCCGGCTTATAGGATCCAAAACATCATAATCATTAACTTCAGTGCACGTAGGCTCCTTTACTTGATTTTCTTGATCCATTCGACCACTTCCATTATCTTGAAACAGGGAATAAGTACGTTTTTTTAATACTGGTAAATAAATATGAGAAGCAGACATCAAATGAAAACAAACAACAAATTGATCCAGATCCATAACCATAACCAAAAATCTTATTTTAAACTACAATTCCTAACCCAAGTGGAAACTTAACAACAAAGGGTACCCTTTTGATTTCAATTTACCAAAAAATTTAAAAACATTTAATTGAAACAACACTCAAATAAATAAATATCATAACTCAATTAAACTGAAACTACCAACAGATTGATCCATAACCATAACCTGATCTTGAAAACCTTCAAATTTCAAATACCAATCCAAATGAGAACTTCAATTAAAAAACAAACTTTTTTACTTCAAAAAGTACCCTATTGATATTAATTTACCAAAAACTCAGATAAACTGAATTTAACAGCACTCATATAATTGAGAAATGGGAAATTCAATTGAAAAAACAAAACAGTGATTAGTAACACACCAAAGTCTCAAACTTCAATATCCGGTTCATAGAAGTGCATAATAATGAAAAAAAGAAAAATTCTGCTAGAAATGAAAACAAAAACAAATGAAAAAGGTAGGCTTTTGAAATTGAAACACATACCAGGAGTTTTGAGAGTTTTAGTTGGAGTTTCATGTGAATATTTGTACTTAGAAATGTGAGAGAGGAGGTGAGCAAGGGCATGGCAAGTGTTGCTATGCAAGTGGGATTGCAAATTGAGAGTCCAATTCAGCTTCCTGCGCTGCAAAGAAGAAAAGTTTTCAAATTTAAATATAAAAGTTTTTTTCCGTTTAAACTCCTACACATATCTAACTTTTTATTTATGGTTCCCTAAAAAACAATGATTCCCATTATTGGTAGTATTCAGTTGCCTTACTTTCAATTGGACCAAACTATTGAAAAAATTGGTAAAATGAAAACTAATTTGCATTACGTTATGCTAGGGACATCTGTAAGACTGACCTAGAACTTATTGACTTGACACTATAAATGGATACCGGAGAGAGTAGCTAGAGATTGATTTGAATACAACACTCACACAGAAAGGCACAAGTTGCTTGGTAGTAGAAGCATAACCATCAATTTTAATGTCAAACCAGTCTAACAGAAACAAATTATGACAACACAATGTATTCATTTCCAAAAAATAATAATAAACCATTTATAAACTAAGTTATGTGGTTCAAATGGTGAGTAATTGTGTACAAATGAAAGCAAGTGCCATATTTAAGAAATAAACTAGGTTGTTATATTAATGTAAAGAAAAAAGTATTTCCTATCCTCTGTTCATACTATTTACAATGGCTCACAGAATTTGGAAATGTGTAGAAGATACCTTGTTCAAGTATCTACTTATCAGTCTCAAGTGACAAATCAAATAAACACACTAAACTTTAGTATAACCTCATCAAGAAATTTGTTATGAAGATCTCAACCATTATCTCTAGTATTAACCTTAGATCACCAAGATATGGTGGATGGGTAGGTAGCCAATAGCACGTAAATATTATCATTTTCAAGTTTACACTACAGTATAACAATACACATTTTTTCTGATCAAGCACACATAAACCAACTCAAAAGCTCCATCATAACAAACAAGGAGTCCTAAAATGATGTCACTATCAATTTTCGTGTGGCTACATATACAAACATGTTATTTCTTGGAAGAACACCATTCCTTGGTTTCAAGTTTCTCCCGAGACCCTATCAAATATCAGTCAAAACATAGACATTTTTATTTGGACAATGACAAGGGCATGTATTTGTAATAGAGCCAGCTTTCATTCTTTCTTGAAATGAAGGATTGTGTCATAGAGATAGCGGGTGATCACTGATCCTAACCTTTTACCAGCTACATGTTCACAGAAAGTTTCAATCTTCGAACAAAAGCAAGCTGCCCAGGAGCCAAAATCACAGAATCCAGCAATATTCTTAAATTCCAACGCGATTAAGAAATGGGAAATCGAAGAGGGACAGAAATTGTCAAGGGTTGTTGAAAAAACTAATTTTATTGATAGAAATCATGATTTTATATTTAACGACTATTAAAGTTAAAAAAAAAAAAGACTATTCAAGTTAAAAATATTAAAAAAACATTCTACAAATCAATGTGACATGTTAATATATTGTCATAGAACTAAAAAGAAAATAAGGTAGAATAATTGATCACAAGGAAGAGAGACACTTAAAAATTGTTGAAAGTTAACCTGCCATGAAAATAATGACCATTTGTCTTTAAAAAATTTCGCGTGAAATCGTATGTTTGTTTGTGAAAAACAATAAAACATATATAACACTATTTACACACTGCATAACAAAATTTAACATTTTATTTTTACTATAATATTTTTAGTTAATATATCAAACAAAATATTATATATAATTTAAAATGGTGTATATAAGAAGTTTTAATTATATGATTTATCATTAATTTTAATTATTGTTAAATATTTTTCAATTTTTAAAAAATTAATTATTTACTCATATTAATTTTTATCTAACTCTATTTAATTTCAAAAGTATAAACTTCCAAAGGGATTTAGTCATATATATTATTAAATATTGAGTAAACAGTAGTTACTTTGATTCCTTAATTTATAAAAATTACTTGTCACAAAATTTTTTAAAGATAATTGGTACCATGATTGGAAAAAAAAGTTATATATGATCAAAATTCATTAAAAGATGCTAAACTGCACTAGCAATGCAGTTACCAAAATCAGCTGTAAGAAAGAGAGAGTAGTTTGGTTTTTGTGGCAAGCTTTTGTACATCTTAAAGAGTGTTTGTGAGTATGCTTTAGTCTCAGTGATCGAAAGGAAAGCATAAGGTCTAGAAAACACAAACCTTAGTTGTGTCTAACAACTTCTGAGTTGTGGATTTAAGTCTAGAAAAGGTTGTGAAAGAATAATACTAGATAGTTTAATAATGGTGTTGAGAATATATACCAGAAGCTAACCTTTTTGGAAAACACTCCTCTCAAGTTGCTTCTCAACATTTAAACTTACTAGTTGCTTGTATTATTTTTCATTCAAGTGTAAGAATGTTTTCCTTGCTGCTAATCAACTTCTGATTGTCAAAAAGCTTCTTCAACATATATAGTAAATCAGAAATGATAAATCTAATATATGTTGTGCAGAAAAAGCCATATTCAGGCAAAAATAAAAAGCATTATTCAACTTCAAATCACTCTCTAATCCAATTCACGTTATACATCAATACTTCTCTCTATTGATATTCTGTTTCTCATCTTTTCAATAGTCATAAGGTTGTTGGAGTTTACAATGAATTTGAACATTTGAAGATGTCAATTGTACATGACGTCTTGCCTCTGGTACTTTCACTGAGAAAAGTACTTTCAATTGTTCATACATAGCGTCTCTTCTGAATGCCAATGTGACACCTTTCAAATAAATCAAATGAAGTGCTTTTGAACTTGTTGTAGCCTGAATATAGTATAAGAAAACGGGTTAATCAGAGAGTATTTTCTCAAATTATGGTTTCAACACGCCATTCAACAGTTCTTCAAAGGTCTTGGACTGATAAGATCTCAGTAATCATTAGTTTTCTGATCAAGTCCTGCAAAATGTATAACATTCAATTTCTACCTTGCACAATAGGAAAATGATCCACTGCACTTGTTCCAAAACACTAGTTATTACAATTAACTATCCTCTTATTGTTATTCAGTGCTGAGTCTCCACTGAATGTGAACTTCCAATAATAGATGTTATGGCAGCCATAAGAGCTGCACTAAATTTGGGGTCTGTAGTGATAGCAGCTGTTGCTGCTTTTACTGTGTCAAAAAGTGAAGCACTTTCTGTTCCCTGAGAGCCATGTAAGCTAGAAAGCTTACTTGGGTCAAAAATGTTTGGAGCCAAAAGTGGGGAAAGGAAGCTATGTTGGTAATCATTTGGTGCCTCTTGTGGTAGCTGTTGAGAGCTAGTATTGGTGGCACTTTTAGTGAGATCCAAAGTAATAGTTGGAAATGGAGCTGAAGCTGAGAGGGTTGCTAAGTTATGTGAAAATGGTAGTGTTGCACTTTCTAATATATTTGGATGTTGCAGACCATCTGAGCTTGGCATTGATCCTGAAAGAAGCATTGATGCAGCTGCAGATGTGGTGGATGCCATTGCTTTGGCACTGGGAGGGAGAACATGATTATGCTGTCCTTCATATGTTGTGATCAACACACCTTGATCCTCTGCACTCCTTTGCACCTTCAAAGGGACATTAGGGCAATAGTTAGCTGCCGCAACTTCATCATTAGGACCTTAAGGTATGTGGCACCAAAACTTTTTGGCTCAAGATCTCATAGTTTTTGTTACAGTTAGAAACATGTTCTATCAGACATAATAAAACAAAAAACATGAACCATTTTCTAACTTCTACTATATAAACATAAATCTTTTACCAAAAATAAGTAAAATTAATTTTCCTAAAGAAAAAAGTAGGTAGATATAAAGGGTAGTTTTTATACTTGCTTCCGAACTGGACAACGAGTCCCCATTGAACATCGATAATAAGCTTTTGGACATGGATTCCCTTTTGATATCTTCTGCCCATACTTTCTCCATTGGCATCCATCAGAAATCTGAGATGAATCCACGAAAAGAAAAGTATTATTACTTTAAAAAAAATAACATCAAACTTGTCTATGAACATTTTTAGAAGAGAAAAGAAAAAAGCTTCTTCATAAATTACCAAAATTTAATATATTAAATTATAATCTTTCACATTTAATATATTAATATCATTTGTGTTTTATTAATTGCCGAAAAGAATTAGTAACACTTAATAATTACATATTAGATAGTATATATTAAGAAAATATCATTTAAAAATTTAAATTTGCAAACTTTAGAACCCAGTTTATACTAACCATAGAAGAAACAGATCTTGATCGAACTGACACGCGAGCTTTCTTGATCATTGACTTGGTTTCTGAGGATTCATCGACGTCCTTGAAAGAACTCAATCTTGTGATTTCGTTTGAGATCCACTTTGGAATAGCTTTGTCAGATGGGTCCAACTGAGTAACATCTCTTGTAGTGCAAATCTTCTGACTCAAGTCAATCATGTTTTTGCTTTCTTGCAGATTTCCCTTGGAATATTGCTGCGAAGTCTCTTCCTTCACAGCAACTCCAATATCCAAGAATGGCTTTGGAATCATATCAGCTTTCTTACCCTTCAGAAAAACCACATATCAGATTTTCATTTTTAATCAAGAAAGTTTAGCCACTGCATGAAACTTGTCCAATGGGGTGTGTGAATAAGGTATATACATGTAGTCTTATATCCCAAAAGTTAAACTATTATATATATCAGTGATCTGTGATGTAGGGTAGCATATAAATAGTAGCACCATAAAGAAAATTCTACGAAACTCAGGAGTTATTAAACCCTAATTGAAATATGCATTGAATTGTCTAATTATCCTGAATAAAAATGAGATTTAAAACTTCCATTGTAATAAATTACTACGATTAATACTTGCAACAAATCATCTTAAAGTAAACAAGAGAATTACATCAATAATTAATTTACTACGCACCAGTTGTTTAGATCTATTTACATAAAGAAAGTATCAAATTTTGTCAAAATAGGAAAGTGTTTTTCTCTTATCTTTTATCATTCATTTTCTTCAAATGTAATAGTTCTATCGAATAACTGATATTATTTAATAGAGTTATAATTTATAAAAGCCTATTACCTCATTCTTACGTTGTTTTTCCATCAGTTTCATAAGTTGATCGTGTAGACCATGATACTTATCGTTCACCTCATCAACCAGTTCTCTCAAGCGTTGATTTTCAGCATTTATGTGGTGCAATTCAGCTACCATAGCTGCAAACTGTATGAACCCAGAAAAGGGAGAGGAAAAAACTTCTTATATAAGTTTTGTGATAAACTAATTATTGCAACAAACTTAAGGTGTAAAGTAAACACACATAAATGATCTTGTATATCTATATTCTTTCATCTTAAAAGCTATACATATCTGAAAAAAATTAAAAACATGCATTGACACAGAGACAAGTACCTCATTTCTTTTATTACCCCTTTCTTCCGATGATCCTTCTCCCATAGTCGATCCATTAGAAGTGGAACTCTTTGTAAGGAGATCTAAGCTAGTCTACAAATCACAACAGGTATCAGAAACATAAGATTTACCAATATAAATAACAGAAGAAAAAACAACATTTTGGGATAATTCCATGAGATTCCTCCCTACATCCACATGAAGCTCCGTTTGGTGCAGAATTTGATCATCATCAGCTACCCTTTTCTTCTTCTTCTTCTCGGCAAAGAAATCCATCTCATCCATGCGTAGTCTTTTCTCACTACACAACATCATTGGAGAAGAATGTGTAACTGATGCAATATAATTAGAGTCATTATTGTAGGTAGTTTCTCCCATGTTGTTGGTATATATATAAAGCTTCTATTAATTGCACTTTATAGAAGGAATGTATGTGTATGTGTAAGTGAGATTGGTCATAGAAAAGGGTACTTTAAAGACATAGAAAGAAAGTGGTTGGATCAGTATCAAAGAAGAGTCCTATAGTTCTGGCAACAAATTGTTAAAGATGTGAAGAGAGAGAGAGAGAGAGAGAGAGAGAGAGAGAGAAAGGTCTGATTTTGAGAGGTTGAAGTCATAGAGATTATGAGATGCAATGGACTCGGCAACCAAAATGGTTTTGACTAAGACCAAATATTATGTGATGTGGAGGGATTCAAATATTAATTAATATTGAAGATTTTGGAAGTGAGGTAAGATGGTGCGTAAGAGTGTCCATGTGGCAGTTTTTCATAAAGCTTGGAGGAAAAATATGCCAAGAAAATAGCAGAGACAGTTGTTTGAGACACAGTCTTGTTTATCGACTTTTATTAGAGACAGAGATCTGACTTCTAAATTCTCAGCATTGACAAGACAATAAAATAACAAAGTTGGGAATCAAAGAATATTTTTAATGACAAATTAGTTTTTCAACAAATTATTTTAGCACAAAAAAAATAGTTTTCAAATCTTGACTTGGATACGTGGACGTAGAAAAATATATGAAAAATTAAAATTACTGAAAAAGTTATTTATATATATCTTTTAAAACGTTTGTCACTAAATTTTTTGTTAGCGACGAAAACAACTTTTTTTCACTAAAACATCAATTGAAAATTATTGGAGAAAAAAAAATCCACCACTTATATTTAATTATTTTCTATTTTAATTTTATAATAAATTATAACTAATAATGTCTCTAAAAGATCTTGTATATTGGAAAATATATATTGTTAACCCTTCTCATTCATAATTAAAAAAAAAAAAAAACATGCACATCCTACGCAGGATAAATAGAGTGAAACATATAAATATAATAAAGAAACATATAAATATAATAAATGAGTGTTTGATAAGAGGCTCTATTTTTTCCTAAAAACAACTTATTATCTACAGCAAAATTTTGTAGTTAAGGGTAAAAATCTGTAGATAATGTAATTTTATTTACAGATTTTTTACGGAAAAAAATTTGTAGGTAATTCAATTGTAGATAATTTATTTACGAAATTATTATCCGTAAGTAATACCATCGAGTAGGTAATGTAATTGCTTGAACAAAATATTTTTATTTACTTACAATCTCTCTATTTATCTAGAGTCTCCTTCTCCTTTATATTATATTTTTATTATTTATTATATATTTTAAAAGTTTGAATTAATATTATATTTTTATTATTTATTACATTTTTAGATATTACCAGATTAGTTAGAGACTAATACTATAACCACTAAGTTAGTAGGATATATTGATAATAACTTATAAATAAATTATATTTATATAGTTATATAATTATATAGTTACATATTTATATATTTACATATTTATATATTTGATATAATTCTTTTAATATAAATTATCTATGGATTATAATCCGTATGTAATTTATCTATGGACGATAATTACGTAGGCAATTACCCACAGATGGTATTACCTACGGATAATAATTCCATGGGTAATGGAGGATGACATTATGTATGAACGAGTAATTCAGTAGATAATGGATAATATTCACGAATGACATTATCTACGGACAATAATTCTGTAGATAATAGATAATTACTCAAAGATGACATTACCTACGGACGGTAATTCCATAGGTAATAGATAATTTATATATAAATCGAATTTCGTAGATAATATCTGTATATAATATATATTTTACCTACATATTTTTATCGAGTATATAATATTTTATAAATAATAATTTTTTTATTAGTGTTTTTTTATTTCGTTTTAATGGAGAATCTCATATTCAAATCTTGAATATATAATTGTGGTAAATATTTAGAAAGGGTAATCGATTCTTTTTGTAGTAGTTTGTTTTATTGTTAGCTAAAAAGAGAACAAATAAATAAATAATGAAGAGAGAAAATAAAATAATATTTTAAAAAATTAATTATAAGAAAATTGTGGACTCACGTTTGTATTTTTATTAATTGTGAATAATTATCTTAATATATTTATTCTTTTTATATATAAAAATATTTATATTTGTTTAAGTATGGTTCAACGAAATAATAATGGATATTTTATATTAAATAACTTTTATTAAAAAATATCAACCCTATTCTACATCAACAACACATGAAATTTTTACAATTTTAATAAATTTTATTATAAAAATTTGAGGATTTACACGGATTTTTTTCATGAAAATATTAATTTTTGAATAGTTAGTTAAAAAATATATTTTGGTCGTTTAAAGTAAAGAAAATGAATGGTAGGAAAAGAAAAAATCATGCCACGTCTTCTTTATGGTTTTCGTTGAATAAATAGGGTAAATTTCAATTTCATAATTATCCTGTAAATTTTATATTACTTTCTAATGACCCCATTAATTTGACTTAATTGACATGGACGGTGCCAAAGGTTATAACGTGCAAGTAATACTTAAATTTATTGGGAACACATCACTCTATTAATGTAATTAATCATCATAAAACTTTTAATAGAAAATTCATCTACTTACTCACACACATTATGAAAATAATCAGTTTAGTAAATAATTTTATTTAAGAAAAATTATTAAGACAACAGTTAGGATAGATAAGATTAGTCTCTAATTTAACAGATTAAAGAAAATCCATAAAAAAAAAAAAAACATACAAAGTTCCTTGTGTATGTGGTAGGACTCAGAAATTGACTTTTTATTTTTATTTATTTTCTTTGGAAATCTTTAAGTTCTTCAAAGGCAGACTAAGAAATTCCCACCAACCGTTGTAGAGATTTCTCAAAGCTTTTCTCTGTCTCTAATTGTTTCAATTTATGGTCAGATTTAAACGAATCTAATAACAAAAAAGAAGCCAAGTTTGTCTTATTGCAAATTTTCTTTCATTTAAAAAGAAAAGTGTTAAACCATACCCAATTGATTAAAGGAAAAATACCCAACACTTTTTAAATCTTAAATGAAAACACTTAATTATTTTTTTTTTCTTTTTCACCATCCATGAAAAAAAATATTTAGTTATTATTCCATCTAGAAATAATATATGTCATACCCGATATATTATGATCAATTCTTATTTTTGACTTGATTTTCATTCCTGATATATTATTCACTTTGAAATTCTCATTTATCATGATTTTATCTTTAAAAAAACGTCTAATTAAATTGAAAAAAATAATATATATATAAACTACCATTATCATCAACATTTTATCAACATAGCTGAATAATTATAAATAAGACCATTGACTATTTTCAATCATATCATTACACATTTTGTTAATTTTTTTATTTTAGTTTTAACTAATTAAAAACTTTTCGTCACAATTGTTATTGGAGTTATTCATAACAGAATTTCAACATCATTTTTTTCCTCAAAAGGAAATGTTTGAAGTGTCATTGATCGAGAATAATAGATGTTTCAGCGTGGGATGTTACAAGAGCGTTATTAATAGTCGAAAACAATGAAATTCTTGACATGAATGAAAATCCATATATATAAGCTCACAAAATGCTAATTATTAGAATAATGAAATTATATTTTATTAGATACAATCATATAATAACTTTAAAATCATGATATTTAGATTTTTCTTACTAACCTTTATTAAAGATGATGAAAGTAAAAAATGGTAAAGATTAATCAAGTTATATAGCGTATAGTTTAAATAGTTTGGTCAATGATAGCATTAATTATAAGTTAAACTCCATAATGTGTGGTGTGAACATGAGAATATCACCTCATCACATCTTCTTTGGATTACAATTCCAAAACCTAAGACAATACTTTGTGGGGTCACCTTAGAGACATATATAGCATTCGGTAAGCTTGATGCATGGATTTTTCATATAAATACAACAATTGGTATTTTCTTAGTAAAAAAGATTAGTTTAGTTTTGAAGAATTTTAGTAGAAAAAACTTTCTTTTTTTAGATTTTTGAGGTTGAAAAAGTATACTTTTTATGTTTGATTTATGTTTTGAAAATAATGTTTTCGAAAGTTATAATTTTTTTAATGACTATTAGTGGAGTCTCTTATATAAAAAAATTATAGAGAAAAATGAAAACCTAGCTTTTTCAATTTAAAATACAAAATAAAAAATACTCTATTATACTTATTAAATTATGGATAAATGATCAATTTAATCTTAAATGTCTCAAAGGTAAAATGAAATATTCATTTTCGATTACTTAAAAGGTCCTACAATTATTTCTTATTCTTAAGATTTGTGAGATTATTTTATTATTAAAATATATTTTAACATAAAAAAAAATTCATTTTACTTCTTATATACATATATATATATATATATATATATATATATATATATAATTTACTCCAAAAAATATTATATGCTTTAAAGTTAATCTAAAAAGTTTTTCAAAAAATACATTTTTTTAATAAAAATATAAATAAGATGTTAAAATAGACTTAATCTTATATATTTGAAAAATTCAATAAAAATATTAAATTTAATAAAAAAATTAACCTAAATTGAATCATATTAATTTTAATCTCATCTATTTAAGTCATAAAAGTTTGTAGATTTATAAACTAACTTAATTTTTAGAATAATAATATATAATTTTTAAAAAATAAAAATATTTTATTAAAAATATATATAAATTATAAATTAATTTTATAAAATATTCACTTATTCTAAAGATATATCTCTAACATTTATTTATTGAAGGATTTAATGATTAAAATGAATTATTATTTTAAATAAATAATTAATTAAAAATTTAATAATATAAAATAATAAAAATGAGAATTTTAATTATTATTTTCACATTGAATAAAAATTTATATTGTAATTT